GCTCCACGAGCTCCACGCTAACTTCAGGAAGAACTCAGTCGTCTCAGTTGTGTTTCAGATCCGTGAGTGTAACTAAACCACTTCATCGGATTCTGAATCAAACTGTGGTTTCAAATGACTAGTGAGAGTGTCGACAACATGTGAGCGGTGATGTGTGATTGTGTGATTGTTGTACTGTACAAACACGGAGCAGGAATGTGGAGGCCGAGCAGCTGAGACACAAGAATGTTTCCTGCCCACTGATCAACACAGAGTTCTGTTCAGGCCGACCCCCGGGCTTCAAGGCTTTGACTGTCGCCGTGGTGACCCGCATCCAGATCAGTAATGATATCATTGTTATTATTGTTAGTGCAGTGTCTGTTCTCATCCTCTGTTTCAGAGTCTGTTGAACTACACAATATTCAGACCCAAGTTCACAACCTTTCAAAATAAAAGCTCTGCAATACTGCTTGATATAAAGCATTGTAGCAATAAAACAAACGCACTGCTTTTACTTTGTAGACCACTTTGAACAGGAAGTGATTCTATGACAGAGATCTGCACCCACGACACATGTGAACGTCTGTGTCAGTCACATACGCTGAAATAAAAATTATCTAAATGATTTTGTGGGACAGATATTATTGACGCCAGCTGTCAACCACTGCTGCAGGATGTAGACGTGTAAACAGCCTGAAGACAAACTGCCCTGTCCCCGATGACGGAGAATCTAATTGATCTAATGGAATCCAGCCCTGAGGTTAAGAGAGTCCTGGTGTCATCCGTGTATTATTGTGGTGCCAAATAGTGGAAAATGTTAGGAGCACCAGTACAAACGTGATGTGAGAAGTGAGTCTGGAGCCCTGGGGTCTTGTTGGTTGCTGAAGTTAATGAGATAACAAGAAAGGGCCCAAAACTCAGTCTGGAGAATTTGGATGCATTATTCAATGAGCGTGGTCACTGTTTACGACCTGAAACCACCGAGACAAAAGAAAGGTCAAGATGAGGTTCACTGCTGCACACGACTGTTTCCTGTGGTGAAACTCAGATATAACATGAACTGTTAAATCAGAACAATCTATCATTACTTTCATAAATATGTTTTGTTGTTCTTCTCTCTTCTTGTGACTTAAGTTAGTGAGTAATTATACTTTTCCATGTTTTTATTCCTTCTTGAGCTGATTCGATGAAGATGAGGAAAACAAACTACGTGTGAAATGTTTGTGAGTCGAAGATCCTCACGTCAGAGCTGAGGATCAGCTGTTGGTTGAAGATGAAGAGTGTGTTTCTCATATCATTTGAGTCTTTCTGGTTTAAATTGAAATTCTGCAGCGTCAGGTCGTCTGAGTGTGTCTGAGGATCTCGACAGTTACTATATATTTTGTGTGTGTGTGAGTGTGTGTGAGTGTGTGTGTAACAGCTGCATCCTCTGGTTGTGCAGGAAGAGGCAGGACTCCTCCCTGCAGCACAATAATGACAGGCCTTACACACAACACAGACACACACAAGTTTGTGTAGCTGTCCTTGTTAGGACTTTGCATTGATTGGAAAATTGAACTAAGACCTCGTCCTTAACCTAAACCAGGACCAGTCCTCACCTAAACCTTAATATAACCACGATGTGACCTAACAGAGTTAACCAGGACGTCAGGACTTATCAGGACCAGGCTTTGGTCCCCTTTAGGTCTACTGGTCCTGAAGAGTCAGAGTTTATACTGGACAACTACACACACACCAAGGGAACATATAGTTCGCTTAGAGACACAGAGGGCCTGAGACAGACACACACACACACACACACACACACACACACACACACACAGTTGTCTTTCCACAGTTGAGAAAACATTCATTGACATTCTTTACCCTAGCATTAACCATCACAACTAAATACATGACCCCAACCTGACCCCTGACCTTTAGACCAAGTCTTAACCTCTCAAAACTATATACAGTTGCTCACACACACACACACACACACACACACACACACACACATATATGTTTTCTCTGGTGTTTCCTGAAGGGGGTGAGTGGAGGGACCGGCTGAAGAAGAGTCTACGAGCTACAGAAACTGTGACGGCTGTAGAGTCAAAGGATGGAAGCAGAGTTTCTGTCGTCCAGCTCTGACAACAACTTGATGATAAAAGAACTGAATCGACAGAAGAGGGTCAAGTGTCATTACTGGGGTTTGGGACATGAAGACTTTGTGAGGTCACAGTGACAACAACCTAATGGAGGATGATGTCACCATGACAACCATGTGAGACTTCATGCATGGATGCAGAGTCACGTCTGTGCAAACATGCATGTGTGTTTTTCTGTTTTATCTTGGGGCAAAAAATGCATATTTGCAGTTCGTCCAAGCGTCTCCAGTTCTAAACATAGATGCAGTGTGTGTGTGTGTGTGTGTGTGTGTGTGTGTGTGTGTGTGTGTGT